GTGTCCAGCCATGTCCCCAGCACTGCCTCGGTCACCACTAACCCATGTCCCCAAGCACCACAGCCACCTGGTTTTCACACTTCCTGCCATGGTGATCCACCACTGCCCTAGTTGCCTTGGCCTGTGCAAGGTGGGGAAGCTGTGCTGGAATGACACAGAATCATGGAGTGGTTAAGGTTTGAAAAGACCTTTTAGATCATCAAGTCCAACCATTTCCCCAGCACTGCCATGGTCACCATAAACCATGTCCCCAAGTGCCACATCAGTATGGTTTTTGAGCACTTCCACAGATGTGGTTGATATTGGTGGGAAGTGTTTCCCTTTCAACAGAAGAATCCAAACTGCTGTGACTGCACTGTTGATACTTATTTTTAGGTTACACCAGGCTTTTTCTTTCCAATACTTAAATATTGGTCTGGAAAGGATGAAACTGCTAAGCATTTCTTGTTTGCATGTGTTTAGCATGTGCCAAAGCAGAAGGGTCTGGGTTAGCAATGCCTATGGTGCATATTGCTGCTTCCACTGCAGTGAGCTTTTCTAGGAACTGGTCCAAATGCTTTTGCCATGGAGGAAAGTTGTCTCCTTTCCCCTTTGTCCTGCCCCTTTGTGCACAGTCATTAGGCTGGAGAAGGTGTTCCTGACCCTGAAATATCTGGAGGTGTTTTTGCGTTGTGTTGTCAGTGAAGAGTTCAACCAATGGAGGTTAAACCATCCTTGCCCTGCATGAGCTTGGCATTAAGTGGTTAGGAACAAAGGGGTCACAACTGCTTTAAATCAAAACCTACTTTTTGGGGGGTGAGGCTTGGGGAGAGGAACATACAGAACCTCTGCAAAGCCCCAGGGATGTGTATAAAGTCACTAGTAGCCTTTGGCAAATCTTGAGTGTAGTGTCACAGCTTTGTTTGTGAAGCTTAATTCTGAGTTAAGGTGTTGGAGTTCTCAGGAGATGACATGATTTGCTTTAGGGAAAGGTTTATTCAAATGAAACCCACTTAATTTCTAGTGTCCTTGTTCTAATGAAGTCAACAAGAAATCTATGGGATGTGGCAAATGGTTCTGCACTGACAACTGCCTTGTGGAAAAGGCAATGCACTTGAACATAGCTCAGATAAATTGGATTTGATAAACACAATCCCATTTATTTCTATCCCAGATGTCAATTTGCAGGAATTATTGGCAGTTCTGTTGCAGCTGAGCTTGTACAAGAGCTAAATTTCCAACTGTGCTTTTGAAATGAGGGTTGAGCTTATATTTCCTTTGCCAATGTGTCTGACATTGCTGAGAGTTGTAATATCCCAAAGTGCTTTGTTCACCTCACACTTTGCCTTTAAACATCTGAGTTGTGTTGGGGATCATAAGGAAGGGGAAAAAAACCTCCAAATGAGACTGTTATTGACATTCCTAGTTACAATCTTGGGTGCTTTATATTGTTAAAAATAAACCAGCAGGGTAAATATTGCTTTAAATAATTGATTGAGGTGTTTTAGTGTTCAGTGTCAGTTTCCTCCAAGCTGAGGTTTCTGGGTGGAAGCAGAGCCAGAGATGGCACTGGGGAAAACAGGGAGGAGGAAAGTTTAGGAGCTTAGAGTGTCCACGTGTGACAGGAAGGCTCGTTGAGCAGAGTGCAGGGAGAGGATCTCTCCAGTGATCACTGCTGGGTCTGAGGGAATCAGTTCATACCTGACCATGCCTAGGCACCCCCTAAGTTTTTCCCACTATATTAACCTACACATCTCACAGGTTCTCCAAAAAAGTATCCATGAAATGAATAACAGTTTTAATTAGTTACAAACTCCGTGTGCTTGTCAATACTACAGTCAAATTGTGAAGCAACACTCTTGGGCAACACTTCTCTGGCTGAGTTTTGTTTTCAGAGTTTCTAGTTCTTATATACATTTAAATGCTTCAGAAGGGGAAAAGCTTCTGAATTTGGGAGGGGAGACCTCATCCCAATCCACAGCTCCCTCAGGAGGGGCCACACTGACCTCTGCTCTCTGGGACCAGTGACAGGACCCATAAGAAGTGCTCAGAGTCCTGATAATAGATGGCTTGGTCTGGTCTGTTGTATTTCAGTCCCCATTCTGGCTGCTGTGCAGCAGCTCTTCCTAACCCTTTGGCTCAGCCCCAGGAAGACCCACAGATTGGATTTGGAGATCTAACTGTGATTAATCAGCCTCAAAGACTGGAAGTGGCTTTCTCATGGACACGAGGTCGAGGTGTTTGGTCTGGTGCCTGGGGTGCCTTGGGGGTGGTGACACAGCCCATGACTGGGGCTCCAGCCCCTTCCCAAACCCGTGGGATCCAGGCTGGCAGTTCCCCTCTCTTCCTCCACAAAAGAATGAAAATCCTTCAAAAAAGAGATGCAAATCAGGGCAGGAGTTGCTGGTTACCTTGGCTGTTCTGTGGCTGTGTGTGTGTTCAGTCTGGGCTCAATAGACATCTTTAATTCATGTTTTTCTTGTCCTTTTAGAGGGTCGCTGAAAACCTTTGTTCATACAGTGCATCTATTACAGAAACAGACTGAGCTGGGATCCTTGCCCGTGGCTGATGTCTTGTACAGGTTTGTGGTGACTTTTCTCCTGGTAGAACTTCTCCATCAGCTCTGCCAATGTGTGGAGTGCATTTAGGTCTTTAAATGTGATTAAAAGGATTTAGAGTTATGAAAGCTCTAGGAAAGATTGAAGTTCAGTCATTTGCAGAAGAAAATCAAATCTGAAAGTATCTCCTGGGTGGATTTTGGGGTGTTAAGATTTTATTTTCTAATGGAATATTGATGATCCCTTGAAGTGGCTAATGAACTCTGACAGGGAATAATGGCTTAAAATCTAACTTCATCTTAGCTTTTCCTTGAGCTCGTTTTTGCTGGCACTATTCTCTGTCCATCTTACTATATTTTTTTTCTTGCAGGTTGTTGCTTTTGGAAGGAGGACCTGGCTCACCCTCCTGCCTGCTTGGGGGGAAGCACATAGTGTCCTGGGGCTTTGAGGACATGTTACCTGCCCCTGATGCCAACACTGGTTCCAGCAGCGAAAGTAAAGGTGAGTTACTTCGTGTCAGCACGAGCAGGGGAGGAAAGATGCTCTTGTTGCTTAGAATGGCTTGCTAATCCCTGTGAAGCTTGGGGGCTCAGGAAATGCTGCTGAAGAGCAGGTGCTGTTTGAGTTGGTCAGGCTGGAGGAGACAGTGAGCAGCAGTTGGTAGTGACCCTCCCTGACTCCAGTGGGAATTGTTCAGGGAGGTCAAACAGAGTGTGGCTGTTATGCCCTCACTGTCCCTGGTAAGCACTTCCCTTGCCCTGTGCAGTGTCCCTGTATCCAATAGCACCAGCATGGGCACAGCAGGTTATTTTTAGAAGTACAAGTTCATTGCTTTTTTTCTCCTCCCCTTTCCCTATTCTGCTTTTGTTTGTTTCACTGGGTTTGTATGTTCTTTGTTAACTCTTTCCTTTGTCTTTCCCTGCATTAACTCTGTGTTCCCTGCTTTGTTTGCCTACTGGTTTGGCACTACTTCACTTCTTCATTGCTTCAGAAACATTAGTTCAAGCTTTGACATCTCATTTCAAATCTGAGCTGTTGTTTTATATACAAGTTTATTGAAGACATCTCTCTTTTTTAAGATACTTAGGCAAGAGAGTGAATATATTTTTGTCCTATCCTTATCTGACTCTTCAGATTCTGTGAACTTGAATAGGATGACTGGACTTGTGTCCCATCCTGATTATTAATAATTCCTACTCTGTGGGTGACAAATCTGTGTTTGAAATACATTTGGTCTTGATTTGGTCTTGAGGTGGAAGGATCTGTTCAGCAGCTTGGACAGAAGCACAGAGTTGTACCAGGAATTAGACCAAGGCTCAATATTAGATTGTTCTTCCTCTCACCCAGTGTGTTATACTGATAGGCAGTTTTATATGCAGGTACAGGAATTTTCCACTTGAGGAGTTCTGTGTCCC